GAGCTCCTTAGCTGCTATGTGCCCACTTTCTTCATGTAACACTATTTCTCTTAAATTTGACATGGTCGATGCCTGCTTTGGCAGATTCCTCTGCTTCATAGATGATCAAACCAAAAGGGAATGCAGGGACCCATACAATTGGGAAGGCTTCCACCCCATGGAATTGCAAGTATCATTGGTTGAGTGGGGTGGGCAATGAGGGATGGGGTAGATATGGAATGAGCACAAACCAATTCACTTGGGCAACTGACCCGACAGATCATAAGTGTAGCAAGAATTCAATCCTACACAGACATAATCAGTATAAACAAGGAGTCTGTGGGGAACTGGTCTTCAAAATACTTAACCCACACTCATGGACAGGGGACCGCATTGTTGCAGCAGGGATCCAATACACAGGGGCTGCCATAGACCACTGGCAAGTAAAGATAAAAAAGACAATCCAAGACTCAAGGCCCCAAAGGTCTTTGAAAGTCCTGGATCAGACAAGGGGCTTGACAATGAAGGGGCTTCAAAGTTTCAATGCCTCCTGCAGGTTCTCTTGGGATCACATTCTCACTTTATCCCTTAATGCCCTGAGGAATCTCTCTAATGCTAATGTGTCCACTTGCTCCCTCTGCAGCCCCCTACAGTGCTCACTTTTCATCCCCTTCCCAGTTTACAATGATACTCCCCAGACTACTATTCAAGGCTCTCAGGAACTCCTAATACATGGACCCCTGCCTGCCCCTCCCCTTTTTCTTGACAAAACAGAGTGTTGGTCTCCACCAACCTCTGAATGCCTATGCTCATCAAGCCAAAATGTCACAATTAAGGACAATACTGCTCTAACCTCGGGACTTCTCTTTCTCTGTTCTTTCAAAAATATATTCCTGCATTCTCTCCACAGATTGAGGACACCTGAGCTCCAGTCATTCTCATACCCAAACTAACCCTATACACACCAGGAGAGGTGTATGATATCTTATCCACAGGGAAAGAAGGAACCAGAACAAGGAGTCAGCCACCTTGGCAGTCCTGGTAGGAGTTAGCCTGGTGGCATCAGTGGCAGCCACTGGACTCGCAGTGGAGGTTTGGAACACATGCTGATCTCAACCCAGCATTTTTCCCAGGAAATAGAGACATCAGACAGGAACTCACCTCAACAGTGGAAACTACAGCCCAGTCAATCCAGTTCCTACAACAATTACCCTCCCTAGCAGAAGTTGCTCTCCAGAACAGGTGAGCCCTGGATCTATTAACTGCAGAAAAAGGGGGAAACCTGTATTTTTTTGGAAGAAGAATGCTGCTATTTTATCAACCAATCCGGTAAGGTCGAACATGATATAGAACAACTTAAACAGGTAGTGAAAACTCTTTCAATTAAAAATTCCCAGTACCAACAGTCATCTCAATGGGATATTTTTACAGGATTAACTCCTTGGCTTCTGCCATCACTGGGCCCCCTGCTTTCAATCACTTTAGTGCTAACCATTGCTTCTGGCCTCGTCAGATATTTTCAGGACCAAATCTGAAAACTAATGTATACTAATTTTAATTAATTGTTACTTTCCTTCCCTCCACATGTATATGAACACCTGCTGTCTAGTGGACCCCTAATCCAGCCTCTCCCCATGTTTACCTTGTCCAGCAGGAAGTAACAAGATGACTATGGTGCCTCCCATCCTATAACACAAAAGGCTGGAATATTAGGATTTCAAACCACAGCAGCCCTCCCTGTCTCCAACAGGGTCTCATGGACTTCGGATTTCCCAAGCCCCTGAGAAAAGGGAACTGAGTTGATAAGAACCCTGGTCTTTGAAGTCAAGGGAAGCAGACTCTTCGAAAAGGCAGCCTGCCTTTCCTTTGATCTCCAAAGACAAGATAAGCAGATTCCACCTTTCAACCAGAGACTTCAGGAGCCACTTTAGTACAGCAGTTTTTCCCTTATCTTAAGAGGACAAAAATAAACACTTCCTGACCCAGATCCTGGCTGGCAGATGGAACAGAGCTGGGTTTACAAGCCCTGCTTTTCCTGCTTTCCCCCAGCCTAATTTTTTTCCAAAGAACTTCCCAACTTCTGTACCCCAAGGCCCCCTTATAAAAGCCCCAGCTCACAATATGTGGGCTATTTTCCCTTCCCTGAAGGGAACATGTCCCATGTGAAATAAAACTCTATCCCGCTGAGCGTTTTATCTGTGTCTATGTGCTTCCCCCTCCCCCCATCAACTCTATCCATTCATTCTCTGGCTACTTTTTACCTATCAATTAGTCTTGTGGTTGGTAGAAACTAGAGTTTTATCTGTTTTTCAGAGGATGTTAAGCCTGACATAGACATGGGCAAGGAATTGTTATTTAGGGGCTAATACAGCCTACAATAAATTGTAATTATGCTCTAGACTTGCAGCATTCCAACCTCTCCACAATCATTGAGGTTCTAGTTAGGTAATCAGTCTTGTAAAACGTTCAGTTGAAGGTGCACTTTCTGTGAACTTTCATTCATACATGGTTGTAGAAGCATCTCTGTGATAAGCTATATAATCCTTTGGATATGTGTTCAGGAGTGATATAGCCAAATCAGGTGGTAGTTCTATTTTTAATTTCTTTAGAAACTTCCATACTTGTTTCCATATGTTTATACTTGTTTACATTCCCACCAGAGTGAATAGGATTGTTCTTTCCCACATGCTCACCAGCATTTGCCAGATTTTTTGATGATAGCCATTCTGACTAAGATGATATCTCAAAAGTATTTTTTTTTTTTTTTGCTCTTTTTGAGACAGGGTCTCCCTGTAGCCCCAGCTGTCCTGGAACTCACTATGTAGACCAGGCTGGCCTTGAACTCACAGAGATCCATCTGCCTCTGCCTCCCGAGTGCTGGGATTAAAGGCATGTGCCACCACGCCTGGCCCATTTGCATTTTCTGATGGCTAGGGATATTGAATACATTTAAAAATCTTTTTGTCATTTGTATTTCTCCTATTAAGAACTGTCTGTTCATTTCCTTAGCCCATTGGCTGAGTAGCAGCCTGAGTGTTTTGGTGTTGCTTTTTATTTCAGTTCTTTGTAGATTCTAGATTATTAGCTCCCTGTCTGAAGTATAAATGGGAAAGAATTTTTCCTATTCTGTCAGCTGTCTGTTTACTTTGCTGGTAGTTTCTTTTGCAGTACAAAACCTTTTAAATTTCATGTAGTTTCACTTGCTAATTCTTTGGCACCTACATTATTGGAATCCATGTCAGAAAGTTTTTCACTATACCAACATCTTGAAGTGTATTCCCTATATTTTCCTTTGACAGTTTCAGCATTCAAGTTGATTTTTTTGTACTGAAAGATATGGATCTAACTTCATTCTTCTGAAGGTGGATCCAGTTTTCCCAAAGCCATTGGTGATGAACCTATTTTTTCCCATTGTATGTTCTTGACATATTTGTTAAAAATTAGGTAGTCAGAAGCTGGAGAGCTGGCTCGGTGGTTAAGAGCACTGAGTACTCTTTCAGAGGATCTGAGCTTGGTTCCCATCACCCACATGGTAGCTAACAACTGTCAGTAACTCAAGTTTCAGTGGATCTGACAAACTTTTCTGGCCTCTGCAGGCCTTGCACACATGTAGTGCACTTACATACACACAAGAAAAAATTTTATGCATATAAAATTAAAATTAAAAATTAGGTAGTCAACGTTGTAATTAGGTTGAGTTATGGGTTGTGTGGGTTGAGTTATGGGTCCTTTAATCTCTTCCACTCCTCTATACATCTGTTTTTGTGCTAGTACCATGCAGTCATGACAACTCTACAACGTAATTTGAGGTTAGGTATTATGACACATACAGTTGTGCTGTTTTTCCTTAGATTGCTCTGGCTATTCATCATCTGTTGTATTTGCATATGAATTTTTGGATTTTTTTCCTAGTTCTGTGAAGAAAGTCATTGGAATTTTGATGGAGATTGTATCACACCTACAGGTTATGTTTGGTAAAGTGGCCATTTTCATGTTGTTAATTCCACCAATCCTGGAGCGCCAAAGGTCTTTTCATACCTGTTATCATTTTTTGTTGAACCTCTTCAAAGAACTTTTTGGCTAATTCTGTCTGGGAGTAATTTGTTTTATTTTGTTTCATCTCTGTTTCATTAATATCTGCCCTAATCTTTATTATTTCTTGGCATCTACTGGTTTTTAGATTGGCTTCTTGATTTTCTAAAGCACCATTTGGTTATTTGAGAACTCTGATTTTGTTTCACTGTGAGCACTTTTATCTATAAACTTTCCTCTTAGGACTGTCTTAGTTGTCTCCCAGAGGAACTGGTAGGTTGTACTATTAATTTGTTTACAGGAATTTCTTAGTTTCTTCCTGATGTCTTTAATACGCAGCATTCTTTCAAATGCATATTGTTCCGTGTCCAACTATTTGTATGATTTCTGTGGTCTTTTGTCTTTTTGATTTCTGCTTTTATTCCATTGTGAACTGACACAAATAATTATCTTAAAAAAAATTGTGTGTGTGTGTGTGTGTGTGTACTGTTTGCTTTGTGGCCTATTATGTGATCAATTTTGGAGACGGTTCCCCATTGCCTAGCATGTTGTAGGCATTGGATCAACTTTTTGCTGGATAAAATATTTATGAAATTTTAACATGCTGTAATAAACATAGCTAGGTTGGAAAGTGACTTTATCAACATAACTGTAATAAATAAAGGCTGGAAAGCACCTTTATCAACAAGGAAAAGAGAATGCAGACGTTTTGTCTCCCTGGGGCATAGGACATTCATTCCCTAGTACCTCTGGGATAGGGGAGCCCCAAATGGAACCTGTCTGTCGGCTAGGAGGTGCCAGCTTCTGAAGATATTCCGGGTAGATGCCCAAAGTTGAGCTTTTGGGACAAAATCAGAGCAGGTGAGAATATGAGCTATCCTTGGACCAGATTCAAACATCTGGGCCTGTATGATGTCCCAGGGCTGGCATCCGAGGCGGGAGGAAAAGACGCGGTCTCAGTTTCCCGGGAGTGTTTAGAGCGACGCACCGGCCCCTCCCGTTCCGGTCCTCTCAGCTCTGAGTTCCCCGGTTCCACGTGTGTTCTTAAAGGAGCGAGCTGAGAGTTGGTGGCTGCTGGAGGGCGGTGAGGCTGCCGTGTCTGGAAGGGGGAGAACGTCGGTGGCCCCTGGGACGTCGCCATGGTGGGGCTCCGCTCCCGGAGCGCTCGCTGGGGCTTCGGGTCGGGCGGGCGGGAAGGGAAGATCGCGAAACCCGGAGGCCGGGACCCTAAGCGGTTGCGTGGGGCGGCGGCGCGGAGTTTGTGGCCGGATCTCTGTGCTCAAGCGCTTCCCCACCTCTATCAGCCTCGGGGTCCACCTCTCCCCATACTTTTCCCTCCGCGGGGAAAAGCTGCTTCTTACCATCTTTGCTTTTGTCTGGGGTCCTGGGCCCATCCACCTTCTCCTCTGGCGGGTACGGCCCGGGTCACCTAGAGGTGCATCAGGTCACAGCTCTTCAGTGATCCAATGTGACCCAGGTCCTGCTTCTGCGGTCCCCTTTCTTGCCAGGGCAGCCACGCGGTCCTGTCTGTACTTATAAAACAAAACCAAGTTGAGTAGTTACAAAAGATTGTTCAGAAAGCATCGAAGTGTGACAGTGTAAGGGGCTCATTCACAACATCCGGATTTTATGCTTAGAATTTATTTTGGGTGTGTGAACACACACGCCACAGTGCGCGAGTGAATGTCAGAGAACAACTTGCAGGAGTCAGTTCTCTCCTACTGTGTCGGTATCTGGGTTCCAACTCGGGTAGACGGGCTTGGCGGCAAGCACCTTTATCGACTGAATCACCTTGCCGGCCTGTTTCTTGACTCCGATGCTTGTGTCAACATCTACAGCCCTTTAGCTTTAGATCACACGTGCATGTGTTGTTTGCCTTTATTCCCATGCGTGTGCTATTTCCAGCTCTTTATCCTTTTTTTTTTTTTTCTCAGAGTGTAATGGTAAAGCAGTTACATGTAGTTGCCTGTGAGTGGGGAGATGGACAGGAATGTTGACTGGCATTTGGCAGTTCTTGTCCTTGGTAACAGGAGCTTCATATTTGCCACTTCTTTTAATCAAAATATCGTCCTGAATAGAAGTTGAAAGAGTGGCAGACAGATGTGTGCTATTTGTCACACTCTTGGCCCTGATGTTTTTCTGAAACATCATCAGTGTAGCTTTCTGAACAGCTCAGAATATAGTTCCAGAGGTCTGAATGTGATGTCTGTTGGCTTTGAGAAGTATTTAACCCTCCATCGGTTTAATTAGGATGAGAGTAGTATCTACCTCATAGAGTGGTGCAATGTGAGTGTACTCAGCTACTCTGACAGTTTGTGAGGTTTTCCTGGGGAGACAGATGTACCTTTACTTGGTGAGTTTTATTGATAAGTAGCACAGAAAGCTGTCCCCCGCCGCCAAGCTGCACTTAACTGCTTAGTAGATTAACTTTTTTTTTTAATTTAAAAATAATTATGTGTGGGCTGCAGAGATGGCTCAGTGATTAAGAACACTCACCGACTGTTCTTGCAAAAGACCCAGGTTCGAATCCCAGCACCCACATGGCAGCTAACAACAGTCCATAACTCCAATTCCAGGGGATCCGATGGCCTCTTCTGCCCTCTGTGGGCATTGAATGACATGGGTGCACTTACCTACATGCAGGCAATATACTCTTACACATAAAATAAAAATAATAAAGTATTAAATAATTATTATGTGTGTATCTGATGTGTGTATCTGATGTGGCCTAGCTGCCACGGCACACTTGTGGAGTCAAAGGACAACTTTGTGGAGTTTCCAGGATTAAACTCAGGTCACAAGGCTTGTATGGCAAGCACCTTTATCCACTCAGGCCTCTAAATTAACTATTTTTTTTTTTTCATTTGGAGACAGGTCCCCCTGTAGCCCCAGCTGGCCTGGAACTTGCTATATAGACCATGCTGGCATCATCTCACAGAGCTCCACCTGCCTCTGCTGGAATCAAAGGCATGTGCCACCATTCCCAGCTAGATTAAAATTTTATTGGGAAGGTTTGATTTTTTTCTTGTTGACAAATATTTTAAATGTAATATACTAAAATATCAAAATTTTTAGTAATGTAGTAAAACATATATATTTTATGTGACTCATTATATATTCCTACTTTGTCCTGAGGAACTTTTTGATAAGGAATCATAAGCTATAGTTGAGTCAGAATATAAGTTCAGTTTTCTTGTGCTTTGTGGTAAATCTTGGCAGTTCTTTAACTTAAATCTTCTAAAGCATATTTTTTTTACATGTTTTTACAGACATAGAATTTCAAACTTTTTATAATAAAAATCTTATATCTTTAAAGAGGCTTCTATATAATTTTAACTTAGGACATAATACCTACAGAGCTTATCTTCTTTTTCCTTAGGGTTTTGGGACTTAGTGTCGTAAAGCTTTTAATTCATTATATATGTGATCAACTCAAGATATCTTCAAAGAGTACATTCTTGTTTTATTTTGTAGGTTTTTGAACTAGTTAACTACCTATTTTTGTGTAATAGAAGCTATCTTAAAATTTAGTAGCTTAAAACAACTTGAGGATCAAGAATTGGGCATGACTTCCCTGCATCTTTTGTGACAAGGGTCCCCACAGTGAAACTTACTTGGTGCTGTGGGGAGGACCCACTTTCAAGCTTTCTTACATGGCTCTTAGTTAGATTCAGCTTCTCCTGGACTGTTGGACTGAAGGCCCAGCTCTTCACTGGCTGGAAGCATCCTTCATTGACTTGTCATGTGGTCTTTTCCATCAGACAACATAATACATGATACCTGGTTTCCTTCAAAACAAGCCCAGTGAGAGAGCAAGAGAGTGAAGAAGATAAAGCCAGTGTTTTTTCATAACCTCATTTTGGAATTGTCATTTACCAAATAATTTTCATTAAAAGTGAATCACTGTGGTGCTAGAGAGATGGCTCAGTCATTAAGAGCCCTTCCTGTACAACCATAAGAACCTGAGTTTGGATCCCTGTAAACAATGGGGGGCATGGTTGCACATGTACCTGAAACCAGTATTCAAGGTGGGGGGATGGGGTGACAACAGAGACAGGATTAGGACTTGCTGGCTGCCAGCCTAGCCAAAAAACTTGTGCTTCTGGGTCAGGAAGAGACCTGAGCTCAAATAAGTCATAGAGTAAAAGAGGAAGACAGCTGATACCTTCCCTCTGGCCTCTGCATACCACATACACATTAGCAAGTTACTGGATCCATCCTTCTTTCATAGAGTGTATGTTATTTCCTCTGTTCCTGGTTTGCACCGGACATGAAACCAACTTTTATTTTACCTGCTCATACTTTGCGTTGTTCTCTCCTAATGTTCTCAACTGTAGCATACATTGCCAGCCCTAAGTCTCTTCCGCATCTATATGCTCGGAGCCTACTTTAAGCTAGTAGTTGATGAGCTGAGCCACATTAGCCCTGTGCGTGTCTTTCTTTTGGTCTTAGGTCATTAGAGTAGTTCTGAATAGATCATTTCTGTTCAGATTATGAGGAAACAAACTTGAAATGTATGACGTATCTCTTGATTCCTAAAATAATGTTTCTGGCTCATTGTATTTTTGTTAATTATTCTTAATTTTTTTTCTGTAGAACATGTTGTGATCTGAATCATTTAATGTATCTATGTTTGTCTTGTTAATAGCCTAAAGGACTAAAAGGAAAGATTACAGGACGGGAGAAAAAAGTCATCCATCCATACAGTAGAAAAGCAGCTCAGATTACAAGAGAGACTCACAAACAGGAAAAAAAGGAAAAGTAAGTACTTTGCCATCATTAGTGTTCTGCCTTGGGGAAAAGCTTTTATACCATTTTCCTTTGGGTGATTATTAGTCTTCCTCGGTTTTCAGTTCTTTTCCTTCAACAAATGTTTTTTGCATGTATTCTTATACTGAGGGTAAAATTGAACAAAGCTTCTAGTCTTAACAGAACTTACCTAAAATAAATTTTAGAAGGCATTTGTGATGAGTGGAGTGAAGAAACCTTTTTTTTTAATATTATTTTTTATTTATAGGTTTATATACCCTGTCATCCCTGTTCCCGTCTACTGTGTTGTCAGTGCCCCCAGTAGCTCTCCAGTACAAGTCCATCTGCTGAGTCTAGTCAGCTTATCTAGTGTACCTTGTTTTAGGAAGATCAGCTCTCCCTCATCTAGCAGCAATCAGGTGCCAATATTCCTTTAGATAAGATTGGGGTCTGATGTTTATTTTCCCATTTCTATGCTGGGTTACTGTCTGGGAGTCTCTTGGGCCACCCTGGCCAACAACTCAAAAGGAAGGTATCTTCTGTCTGGCATTGTTTCTTATTATGTAGCCTTTAGTTATACACATGGACTCTTAAAAGAATTATACTTTGGTCATACTTTCCTTTTGGGTGTTTAAGACCATACAGTTGGCCCAGATAAACCAATTTATTTTTACTCTTAAGGTCCTTTGAGGATCTGTTCCTCAGGGGTCACATGGGCTTGGGAGGAGCCCCTGGCTCCTTTCTTTTACAGTTCCATCTATGTGAAGATAAGTCAAAGGTTCTGCTCGACCATGGCTGTCTTCATTTCGAAGCATGAAGGAAATGATTCCTCTGTGTTGACCCTCCTCTTTGTAGACTGGACACTGGTTCAAGTCCATCTGGTGGGGTCTCCATGGCCTCCTTGATCAAAAGGACAAGTGACTCACCACAGTTACAGGACATATTGAAAGATGCTCATAGCCCCTAGAACTTAGTTGACCTTGGAGGGCAAGGAGCAAAAACTGTCCTTTATGTCCCTCTGTCTGTCCAAATTAGTATAGGCCTCAAAGTATGGCTGTTAAACATCCAAGAAGGTTAGTTCATCAGTCTGGTACTTTTTTACCATGTGCTATGTAGATAAAGCCTGGGAAAAACCAAACGTTCTCCCTTGACTAGACATATATTATGTTCCTTGAGATAGTTGTATGTATAATTTATCAGTAGGTTGTTGGACTAATATGGTTCCCTATGTTTTTTTTTAAAAGTAGCTAGGCATTATTTATCTTTTGCATTGTCCAGCCCTTTCACTATGGTTTCCCCGTTTTTCCCATTTCTCCCTTAATAATACCCTTCTTCTATGATCTCTCCTCTCTTGAGCTCCTTCTGTCCCTCTATTCTCAAGGCTCCTTGTAGAACCCTCCCTCCCCTCACCGATTAAAATAACCAGTTTTTATCCATATTTCCCTTATTAATACTTGTTTCCTACTGATCTTCTCTTTCAGGTTCTTTCTTTCCCTTTACCTCCCTGGTTCCTTTCTATTATCCTGGTTACTGTAGTTATATCTGGATATTTAGTCACTTATCAGGGTTTGGTTCTAGGATCCACATATGAGGGAGAACACACGTCGCTTTTATTTTTCTGAGTCTCTATTACTTCACTTAGTATAACAGCTTCTGGTTCCATCCATTTACCTGCAAATTTCATGATTTCATCTTTCTTTACTGTTGAATAGAACTCCCATCGTATAAATGAAACACATTTTCATTATCCACTTGTCAGTTGGGGGACATTTAGGTTGTTTCCATTTCTTAGCTATTGTGAAAAGAGCAGCAACAAACATGGATGTACAAGTGTCTCTGCAATAGGATGAGTTCTTTGGGTGTATGCCAAGGAGCGGTATAACTGGGTCAAATGGTAGGTTCATTTTTAGTTTTTTAAGAGTTCTCCACACTGCTTTCCATGGCATTGAACAGATTTGCAGGCCCACCAGCAGTGGATGAGCATTCCCCTTTCCCCACATCCTCTCCAACATTTGGTGTCATTTGTTCTTTTGATCTTAGCCAGTTTGACTGGGTTAAGATGACATCTTAAAGTGGTTTTAATTTGCATTTCCCTAATTACTAATGATGTTGAACACCTTTTAAGATGTTTCTCAGCTGGTCAGATGTTTCGCTGGCAAAGGTTTTCTCCCATTCTGTTGGTTTTTTTTCACTTCCCTGGTTGCTTCTTTTGATGTACAGAAGTTTTTTTAGTTTTTTGATGAGGTCCCATTTGATTCTTGACCTTGTTTCCTGAGCAATAGAAGTCTAGTTTAGAAAGTCCTTTCCTACACCTATATCTTGTAGGTTATTGCCATGTTTTCTTCTAACAGTTTCAGAGTTTCAGGCTTCACATTGAGGTCTTTGATCCATTTGGAGTTGACTTTTGTGCAAGGTGAAAGATAGGGGTTTAGTTTCATTCTTCTACAGGTGGAGACCCAGTTTTGCCAGCACCATTTACTGAACATGCTGTCTTTCCTCCAGTGAATGTTTTTGGCACCTTTGTCAAGTATCAGGTGGCTGAAATTGCATGTACTCATATTTGGGTCTTCAATTTTGTTCCATTGATCTATGGGTCTATTTTTGTGCTAGTACCATGATGTTTTTATGACTCTAGCTCTGTAATACAGTTTAAAATCTGATATAGTAATTCCCCCAGCATTGCTCTTAGTGCTCCCGATTGCTTTGTCTATCCAAGGTCTTTTATGCTTTCATGTGAATCTTAGGATGTTTTTTTCCAGTTCTGAAGAATGTCATCTGGATTTCAATTGGCATTGTATTGAATCTAT